GTGTGTGTGTGTGTGTGTGTGTGTGTGTGTGTGTGTGTGTGTGTGTGTGTGTGTGTGTGTGTGTGTGTGTGTGTGTGTGTGTGTGTGTGTGTGTGTGTGTGTGTGTGTGTGTGTGTGTGTGTGTGTGTGTGTGTGTGTGTGTGTGTGTGTGTTACCGGGCTTTAAAGGACCTTTCCACAAACAGAGAGGTATGAAGCTTGTCATCGCTCTGTCTTGACAAATAACCTCTTCCCTCACTGCTCCACCTCACCTCACTGCTCCACCTCACCTCACTGCTCCACCTCACCTCACTGCTCCACTGAGATGGCAATGTACTGTGCACACATCACTCCATCACACTGATGGAGAACTGTGTGTGTACGTGTGTGTGTGTGCATTCTGCAGTAAAAGCATGACTGAGGGTTTACTACAAACATGTTTCTGCAGTACACTGAACAACTGAAACATTGACTTTAATTCAATGTATTATGTCAACCGATTTCACATAACTGTATTAGCTTAGTTGAAAGCAATAATATAAAGTTGAGCCTAATATATATTTTTTAAACATAATTGTATTGCTTTCAACTAACCTAATACAGTTGTGTGAAATGAGTTTTAACATAACATCACGATCACTGAGAGGAACATGCTCAGGACCCTCTCACGTGCATTGGACCTGGGATTCAGCTGTTTAATATGAGGAGTGACTGGGGCACAAAGCAATGCTTCAGTCTGACTTCATTACATCCTGGGATATCTCTGATTTGATGGAAACAGTTCATATCACTGTTTGGGACAGGGCTGGGGTCAGAGGTGATGTGGTTGGGCAGCCTCACTAGGTTCCTATGGTATGCTGACTCATAGAGTCTCTCAGCTGTGCCTCCAGGAAGGAGACACAGAGCAGGAGGATCATAGAAACACAGTGTGTGTGTTGTGAGGGAGCCCTGGAGCATCTGGTTGTGGCTCTGCTGCCTACAGAGCACACAGCACACAATTAGATGATCATGTTGCTTCAATGGGACATTATTTTAATATGCATCACACCATGAAAACATTTTGAGGAACCATTTCATTCCATTCTGAAATGTTCAATTGTAAATGCTGACTTCCTATGTACGCTGGAGCTGTCAGTGTTTCACAGTACGCTGTGTGGAGGAAATGATACCTCTCGTACAATTGAAAGAAACTTCTTTCCTCAAGCGATGATTTCATCTCTTTTCCACTCCAGCAGTTCCATCGTCTCCTCTTTGATTTGCATTCCTTTATCAGCTCTTTCAGGTCTGTCGCCTCTCCTTCTCTTCACTCTGTCTCTCTCTCATCTCTTGTGTGTGTTTTGAAAGAATGTCACTATGTGTGTGTGAGGAATGGTCTGCCTTTCCCTCTGATGTGCAGCCTGAGGAGGTTTTCACAGATCCCTCCCTGATCTCTATTTCCAAACAGGAGAACATTGATTTTGAACTCACATGAAGTCCTTTTGTACATTAGTTTATCAAAATACACAGTTGATATTGATTAAAAATAATTTCCAACATACATGTGCATGTTTTCAATAACTGATCAGACAGCTGTGTCGCACATTGAGTCAGGTTGCAAGATGCTAGAGGAAGATCTTGGAAAAAATTACATTTAGAGAAGAGAACATGCAATTCTGGCAAAGTTTATGTAAAACTTGAGCGGCCATCTTTTTATGACTGATGTGAAAATCCTAAAATAACTGCTGTGTCGGCTCTTTTGAAATACTTCCCACTTTTTGGAGAGTAATTCATAATCCAGAAATGTCTGTTCGTCAGCTAAAGACACATGAATGCCGTCTCTATACTGTATATTACAAAGACAGAGCTGGCTTACATCACTGGACTGTGTACATGTCATACTGTACATCAGCTGCAGGTCCGGCTAACACCATCTTCTAAACACCAGTTAACCAAGCAGAAAAAACAACAACACCGCTTTTTGGTGGCAGCTTTGATACTTGTCTCTGTCAGCGTGCAGGCTGAACTGATGACTCTGTGATTGGTGGAGAGCGGCCTGGGGCGGCTGTTTGAGGGGCACCATGTCCCAGGGCGGTGTCACTTGGTGGGGCAGCGCTGTCCCTGCAGGCGGTGACTCTTCACCAGCCAACCAATCACTGCAGGGCGAGTGAAACAACACCACCCCTAGCAATGTGGCTCCTATTCCTCTGTAAAGGTTTCTGGGTGTGTTTAGAAATGTGTAGGTTATATTTGTTGAAATACTCTTTACATCCCCATCTGCCTGAGCACCCAGTGGCGTCACCAGAGCTCCTCAGGCTGCTAGCTGGACGTCTGTGAGAGCTTACAGTAGCCATGTTGCTGTTTACCTTCATATTGATCATTTTGGGAGTGTGGCTTTGGAGGTGGAAGCCTATAAAGGACAGCTTTCCTTTATATCTTGTCGACCTTTCACAAGAGCTTTCCTTTTTTTTGGATAATGAATACCCGGTGTACTCCTGCTGGCTACTCTAATGGACTCACCCTTGGTTTGAACAATTTGACTCATTATTATGCACAGATTTGTAAATAGTTTTTTCAATGCTTTAATACAATAGATTTGCATTAAAGAATAAGAAATAATCACAATTTGAAACTGGGCTAGTTTCAAATTGTGATTATTAATGAAACTGGGACAATAATAGTTATCTTGAGTATAGAAAGCGTGTGTCTTATACATTAACACACTCAAAACAGTCGGTCCATGCTCCCCCCTTTTAAGGTAACTTAGTCAGGTTGGACTCTGCTCACACACACCTCACCCCTGAGGACAAACACACGCTTTGCAACCCTTCATACCCAAATCCTGCATTCTTTGAAAAATGTTGGGGTAAATAATACACATTATGATATTTGGCATTAGGGCATACCGATTAGAGACTCAGCATTTTGGGAAGTCCCTGACACACACAATATGTGTTTCTGTCGCACTAACACAGCTTTGTGTCCGAGAGCTGTTACATCTCCCAGCCTCCCTCTCATTCGCAGTTCTTATTTGGCAAACAGTACCTTGTGCTGTTTTTCAGCATCTGAGTGAATAAAAGGTGTTTGGATATTGCAGGGATGACACACAGATGTAGACGTGCTAATGATGCCTGAACACTCATCCAAACATCCTTAGTGTCTGTCTGTGTGTGTTTGTGTGTGTGTAAGTGTGTGTGTGACTTTAAGCATTTAGCCTTGAAGGTTTTCATAAGTGGAGCAATTACTAAGCGGGCAAAACAGCATATGGAGAGAAAGAGAGAGAGTGAGGGAGACTTGGGGGGGGGGGGGGGTGGAGTCACTTCCTCCACAAACAAAAAGCTCTCGCTCGCCCAGCCTACTGCTCCTGCATAGATCCCTCCTTCTCTCTCTCTCTCTCTCTCTCTCTCTCTCTCTCTCTCTCTCTCTCTCTCTCTCTCTCTCTCTCTCTCTCTCTCTCTCTCTCTCTCTCTCTCTCTCTCTCTCTCTCTCTCTCAGTGGAGAATGAGAAGCAGCAGGGCTGGGAAATGGAGACGTGATGCTCTTTATGCAAATCAAATACCAGCACTGCCATTCATTTCCTTCAGAGCACCCTGAGGACGCAAAGGGAGCCAAAAAGCACTAGAAGAAATATCAGGGAGAAGTTCAAGCCAGGTCAATTTTGAAACAAATATGTTTAGAGAGAAGAAAGAGGGCTTTTGTGAAGGCCAATCGCTGATCAGTATTCAGTTCTGGCCGGGCCCGTTAACCGCAAAGAAATTAAACATATCAGTTCACATGCAGGCAACACTGACGTCTACAAGCTCCTCTTTCATACATTTTGTATTATGTTTTAATTGCATAATATGACATCAAAATGCAATAAGTGTTTGTCAGCAGATAGAGTTACAATTATGTATCTCCTATCACCACGATACATTTGATCAATCAGATCTGACATTGACAGTGAACAAGAAGGACATGATGCTCAACACCTGCACTCTTACTGCTGGTTCCATATATAGTATTCTAACCCAGCCAGTTGGGTTCATTATTTGACCCAGAACTTGCTGGCTTTTATTGACAAATGCTGTGTCTTTTTAGCTAACATTAGCCACTGTATATGTGCTAATGTTGAAGAAACACTTCCATCCCTTTAGTTCCAATACAGGCTTTTTTTCTATTTTTAAAACAATACTTTTATTAAATGAAAGAAGCTTGTTCCTTCCCCTGGATGTGGAGAAGTGTTCTTGTTGGAGACACAAGTACCGCTCTCAAGCAAAGAACTGCTTTGTAGCCCAGCAGCTGGGTGGGCACTCAACTAGCCATCACTGTGGATTAAACCCAACAAAATGACCCCAACATCTCAACACAGCGTTTGGATAAAAGAACCCAGCAATGTTTAGTGTGTGAACTCTGATTCTTGTCAAGTGTGTTGCCTTAGACGAGACATTCAAGTATTTAAAGTAAAACTCCAAGGGTCTGCAGTCTAAATAGATATCCATTCATTTCTAGAACAACCACTAAAATGAGAATTTTCACATTCCCAAATTCGGTTTCATAGCCACTGCTTTCATTACAAATAAAGTTCTGTTAATGATCTTCAATCTGGCCTTCTGTAGCCTGCGGGGCTACAGGCTCCACGGTTAGGATTCTGCCAATTACTGAATCACAGGAGTTTATATACTCTGATGCACATTAAAAGTCTCTCTCTCCGGCTGAGGGTTATGTTTTCTTACAGATGAGACACTGTCTGATTGAATTATATGTGAATTGGATTTGATGGAGTTTCTGCTTGTAAAAATATGAATCCATGATTTGAGGGAACACTTCCCCAGGTCCTTGAGGACAAAACCTCTCCCTGAAATACTTAAATGCTTAGTTTCCACTGACAGCTGTGCAATAAAAACTCCAACCAGAAATATCCAAGATTCAGCGCTTCCAAACCTCACAAACTGCACTTTTTAAACTGCACAAACTGAAATACAAGCAATAATGTCTTTGTTGGACACATTCAAATGTTTGCAAGTGCAAATGTAAAAGATAACTCTTCTCCTTTGTTGTTTACAGAGTTATCCAATCACCACGGCTCCACTCTGCCGCCGGTCCCCCCCCCCTCACCGCCAGAAGCCCTCCATCACAGCTCTCAACCAATCCCTGGGCTCCTCGCACCACGCTGGCCATTCACTGAACTCGACACGGCAGATAACCCCTCCTACTGGAAGCCCGGCTCCTGTGGCCGGCCAATCACCAGCCGAGCTGCAGACCACGCCCCCCGAGAGCGTCCCGCTGCAGGACAGCTGGGTGCTGGGTAGCAATGTGCCTCTGGAGACAAG